TCAGCGGGAAGACCTCCGACTCTAACATCGTTGGTCGCGAGTTCAAATCACAGTGGAGGCGGTTGTGAATTTCAGATTTAATATATTTAAATTGCTGAGTGCCGCTTAAAAATTGAAGAGAAAATGATCAATTGATTTAATAATATAAATAAAATAAAAGAATAAAACACATTAAATAAAACGCAATCTGTATAAGAAAAGAAAAAATGAAAAAATATCAAAAAATCGAATAATCAAATTTTTCTTTTCATAAAAACTTATTGTCCCAGAACTGTCGAAAATACAACCAGTTCAGAAGTGGTTCGAAAGTTCCGCAGAGGTGGCAATTTCCACTTCGTAGAACATCGCCATGTGCGAAGAGAAAGTTGAAAGCATTGCGTCGGGGCATATCGAGAACCAGTACTGCCTCTTAAAGAGCTAAGAGTAGTTCTGAACTAACGCGTTTTACTGCAGGGGCCTCTTAAAGATCTAGTTCTGCGCTACTTCTGAACTATAGCGTTTTACTGCAGGGTACCTACAGCCCATTTTTAAGTGTGGAAAACAAAGCTTGATGAGTGCGTGTGGGCGTAGGCGTACCACATAGCATTCACACGCAATTGAACACTTAATTAAAAATTCCGCGATGTAATGGTGAGTTAATTAAGTACATAAACAACTGAAATAACTTAACTGTATACATACACATACATAAATGTGTGTGTGTGTATAACGTACTTAAGAAATGTAGAACCAAACGACAAATAAATATAAAACTTTCTTTCGTTTTTATTTTTTGTATATTTTCAAACGTTTTTTTTTATTCGTAACTTCTCACTTACCAAATATACGCCCCGCTTGACTGCCCAACGGTGCAGCTGTCAGCAGCAATAGCAACGCAGCAAAACCATAAATGATGAGGCCAAGATGATTTTTATATTTGGCTGAAATGCGTAGCGTCATTTTGTTGTTTTCTTTGCGCTTTTAACGACGTTTTGCTGTTGCTAATTTGATGGTTTGTTAAATACTTTCAAGCATTCACGGACATACACATAGATACACACACACACACACACACACACGTGTATGTACACACGAACTCTTTTGCCTACTTATTTAATTAGCGAGCAGTGTTGCTTTGTGGGTGGGTGAATTTTGTTGTTGGTGGTGTTGGCAATCGTATCGGTGGCTTATTTATCATTTTTTCCACAATGTTTTTTTTTTTTTTTACAATAGCATCTACAGCGGACAGTTAGAATTTTCCTTCATTAAGTTTTTTTTTGGTTTCATTTGCTGGTGGGTAAACTTTCCCGTTGTTTAAGTTGATTGACTCGTCAGTTTTTACTGCTACCAGAGCTATAATATTTTTTCTTTAAACTCTAGCGCGCTTTTTCTGTTCTGTTGTGCTTTTTCATCCAACATCGGTTTTTGGTGAGCATGGTTTATATTTTTGCAAATGTTTTCTTGGGAATTATGCGTAACCTGAAAAGAAAAAAAATCAAGAATTTAAAAAAGGCAAGTACACATTTCAGTGCCAAATATATAAAATTCAAACGTATTTGTAGCTATTATTTCGTATTTCATACCAAAATTGTATCCTAATTCGTGGAAAATTTTGCCAAAAATTATATTTAAATTGAGAAAAATTTTATGTGTTGCAGTAACTTGTACTAGGAGGACAGGGGTATTTCGGCGATTGTAACAGGCCGATGTCTGTACATTAGAGATATTAAAGAAAAATTAATGTGGTGGGTCTGTCTGTCTGTCAGTCTGTCTGTCTATCTGTCTGTATGTTTGTAGGCGCATTATTCTAAAAATTATGCATGGAATTGAAAGCGATTTTCACCGTTTATTGCTAGTGGCCTTACTTAGAAGATAAAAAGAAAAAAATCGATAGTTGCCATCTGTTTGAAAACTGCAGTTTAGCTAAATTTATAAGGTAAAGTAAATATTGCAATATGATTGTCAAAATGAAGAGGTTTAAGAAGACTTATAGCCGGAAATATTTTTGTTGGAGTTTGCCACCTGTTTGAAAATTTAAATTTAATTTAATTGATAAGATAAATTGAATGTTGCAATATGGGAATCAAACTGAAACCATTTAGGAAAGTTTGCTGCCGAAAATATTTTTGGGGAGGGTTGCCGCCGGGTTGAAAATTTCTGTTTAATTTGCTTGATAAATAAAAAAGTAAAAAATTAAAAAAAAAAAATTGTTTTTCTTATTGATATTTATATCCAACAGTAAGCTACTAGTTAGTTGACATCTAATGCAGAGGACACCAGTTAATAATCAGTTACCACTAGTCAAATGCTAGTTAGTTAATAGTTAGCTACAAACTACTCCCATTTCCTGCAGGGTCATAACATGCCTTATGAATAGTGCATTAGAATTCAGTCAACTGGCTTAGTTGCTCAGAAAAGTATTAGGATCATAGCTTTAATCGACAATCAGTTTCTCAATGTAAAAATCATAAAATTAACAGCAAAGTATATTTTTACATCTACTATTTTTAA